AAACTGTAAAGCCTGAAAACCTGAGTCCCTAAATCAGCCTTGAGGGAACCTGTAAACGAACCTTTAGAGGAACAAAGCCTTTACCCGATCACCCTACAGCTTAAGCCCTATCCCCCCGAGAAGGTGATTTGTGGACTCGGCCCCATTACATACACTCCAAACGAACCTCTAAGCGGCCCTTTGCCTGAACCCTTAAACCCCTCCCCGGAAGGTCGATTTGTGAGCTGCCTCATGAAAGCACCCACATGGAGCCCTTACCCATGTAAATCTCCTAACCCCCAAACCCCAAACCCTGAAGCCGAAGAAGGTCATATGTGGCCTCGGTCCTTCGGTCGTGCACTTTCCCGAGTTGGCTCCGGGGGGCGTCACCGTGGCAGTGTTGGTTGGCCCCTCGGGAACCTGCGTTTGTCGATTCTTGTTAGGCCGGGTTCCGGAATTCTACATAGGCCTTGACGCTCGATTTAGGGTTTATAAGCCAAAATAGTTAAAATAGGGGTTGGGGCTTCTCAGCTTTAGGGCTGAGTTGAGTCCTCGGCGGTTCGCAGAGGACTCAGGGTACCGCTGACGGCCCTAAGCCCTAGCCCTACTTTGGGAGCCAGGGCCTTAAGGTACATACGTAAAATGGTAAGTGGCCGAATAGTGGCGTATCCTAACTACAACTCTCCTTGCATGCATGTGCGCTCTTGTCTTTGTGTGTATGCATAAATATTCGTATGCATGTATAAGTTTGAACACAATATGCATGTATGTACATTTGTATGGGTGTACACATGCACGCATGCATGCATGCATGCATGCATGCATGCATGCATGTGTTTATGTATACACACACTTGTATGTGTATGCATACATGAGTACTCTATCGACTTGCCTCTGATGCCGATTGCTTTGAAGCTGTGACTTGAATTCCACCCCCCTGGTTGCCCCAAGCTTGTCAAGTGGACTGCAATAGTTGTCAAACAACGACTAACCATAATGCTGACAGTATTGGTACAGAACACATGACTAATAATGATAC